CAGTGTTCAAGGCCAGGCTGGCTAAAGTCTCAGGCAATCTGATCTAGTGAGGATGTGTCCCTGCCCATGGTAGGAGGTTTGGACTAGATCATCTGTAAGATCCATTCTAACCCCTAAAATTCTATGATTCTATGAGTTGCCATGTTAAGGCTCCTGTCCTGGTTACTGGGCTAGTCTAAGCAAAAGCATTTTTTAATAAAAAGTTGAAACTTCACTTGGTGGTGGAGAACCCCTTTGAGAGATAAAGGTTGTTACGGGTGTAGAAAGAATGCAGTCACTGTGCAAAAAAATTAGGCTGCAAGGTGTGTGCCAGACCCATGCTGAAGGAGCAGCTGCCAGCAGATTTGCAGACAAAGAATCCTTTTCCTAATCTCATAGCTCAAAACATGGCAATTAAGAAAACCCAGAAAACATCAAGAGGCAGCATATCTCATCACTAACGCCACCACCCTCCTCACATGCATCAGCAGATAAGAGAAAACCTCCCCATGTAGAATAATTATTGTTGGCAAGGAGAGTATTGATGTTGGGGAAGGAGGACAGCTTGCTTCTCTTGACTACTTGCACTAGCCCTGCACATCCTAGAGAAGAAAAATAAAGCCCTGTTTTGACTAGCAAGCTGAGCAAACAGGTCTTATAAGTTAAACAGAATGAGACAGAGACAGGGAGAGAAGGAAAAACACCCTGGCTGAGAGCAGCCCATGCCCCTTGCTATGTGTGCACACAGCTCTGGCGAACCATGGACACAGTATGTTGAGGCCATGTACATTTATCCCAAGGAAAACAGCTCAAACAAAATAACTAGAACAACTGTGCAGCTGGCAAACAGTGTCCTGACTTGTACCTTGAGCTTCTATTTGAAGCATACAGGTCTTAGCTGTTGCTTCAATAGCAAGTGTTTCAGATGAGAGACTCAGACATCTGGGAGCCTCCTCAGTGGACCAAGACTGCAAAAAGTTCTGACTTTGGTATTGACCTTCATGGGACAATTCCCTCCCATTGTCCTTTTTTTTTTTTTTTTGCCAGTTGTTAGGGACAGAGTATTGGCAAATAGACACCCATGTTACATGGTGCAGCAGCCTCTTAGCTACCTGATAACAGGGCTCAAGTACCATCTCCCAGTCTATTTCAGATGGGTAGGAATGTTACAGTCAGCAGTTCAGCTAGATATAACCACCCCTTCCACATTTTGGTATCAGGTCTTACTTTCTATGGTTCCACTGGTTTTAGTGAGATTGCATCCAGACCACAGAACAAGACATGGGGCAAGGCAATGTGGAGCAGCCTGGTTTTAGCTACCTGGAACAGGTAGGTGAGTGATATGCCTTTCCTGACTGGTTGGACATCAGGGTTATATGGAGGGAGTTTTTACAGAGAAAAGAAAAGATCCTTCCAGAGGATCTCAAGGCCTTTAGCGTATTTTGAAAGTGCCTAGGTCATCAGGGAGCCTGTATTCCTTGACAGTCATTAACAGTTTGGCTTGGGAGTCCCTGCACTCTGGAGGTGACTGTCTTCATAACTTCGTGTTTCCTGTAGTCTTACAGATGCAAAATTTGCTTTGCAATTACAGACATTAACTGCATGTAATGAGTGCTGCTCTGAGCATTCTTCCCAAAGTATTTTGGATTCTAACTTTTCTAACACAAAAATTATTCTTAGTGGTTAAAGCATTGTGTTTAGTGTGCTTGTAGCATGATTTCTCAATAATTCTAAGGATTATCTTAAAACTTAGATTTCTTAAATGTTTCTCTGTGTGTGAGATCCCCTGAATACTCTTTTTTTTCTCTCATCTATCTATTTCAGGTTTTGCCTGTGTTTAATGCAAATTTTAACCTTTGGAGAAGTTTGTGTATTGCAGTACCGGAAAACTGGCAAATGCAATTAAAAATGGGGCTGCATGTTTGAGTAAGCTCAAACCCAAACTCAGCTGATTGTAATTAGACTTGCTGAGAATAAAACAAAATTGCAAAGGAAAAACAGTCCCACTTCCATCCCCCTCCACAAAACCATAAACATTTCTATGAAATTGCGCCATTTTTTTGAAAGATAAAAAGCAAAAGTGAAAATCACATTTCCCAGGGGTATTCGATTTCATTTCTAAATGTATCTCAACTGTTTTTTAGGGAGAAATAATTTTTCAGTAATCTTTGTTAAGCAGATCTCTTATTTCAAGATGCCTGTTTTGCAATCAGAGTGCAACGTGCATCGAAATGTTCCTATCTCTCCCCTCCCAGCTATCACAAAACCAAAATTTTCTGGTTCTGCTGCCAGTGAAGCTTTTTGCCCTCAAATGCCCCACTGCAATCTCCACCTGAGCTTTAACCTGATAAAATTTCAGTGGTGCCAAATACCAGCTCAGGTCCCATCTGAGCTCTTAGATTACTTAGCAGGTTGCAATTACTGGTTTGGGAGGGTGATGTGCATGTGAGAGCAGTAGGGAAAAGATACATTCTGAAAACCTGTTTTAAGTGTTTACAAGTGGTTTCCTTGACTCCTCTGGGAAGGTTGTCTGAGCCAGCTGTATTCCCTGTGAGGAAAGCATGGCACAACCAGACCCAGAGTAGCTAGAGCCAAGTCGCTGGCAGAGCCAAGTTCTCTCACACTCTCTTTCTTCCAGCACTGCTTTTTCTTTTTGTTTTTCAATGTGCCGAGTTTGTTTGTTTTCTTTTATTTTAGATTCCTTAAAAATAGGCCTTTCACATCTTGAGGCCCCTGCACACCATCAGAAATGTAATTACAAGGCATGAGTTGAAAAATGTCAACTAAGTCTTAACTGACTTAATCCCAAAATCAGATGGAATGGACCACATGACTGTTAGCAAAAGGCAGTGTAAATGTGAAGGGTTTTTGTCTGGTCATCAGGGTCAAGTCACTCGTGTGTGTAGGACCAGCTGTCAGAAACCATGTGAAGGTGTTGTATTGAGCCTGGAATTGATCCCTCTCTTCCTTCTCTTTCTGCTCCCAGCAACCCTTGTCATTCAAATGGAATCTGAGGCCAAATGCACATCATCCACCTACAAGGTGATGGCAAAGTAAAATTGTTCTCACTACTCTCATTACTGCACTGCAACATTTTTGGAAAAGGCAGGATCTTGCTTTTGGTCTCAACAAAACCTACAAATGTTATCTAAAGGGTGAAAACTGAGAAGACTCTTGCATTGGTACCATTTTAGTGAGAAATGAGTTAAGTCCAACACTGCCTAGTCATGGAAATAAAAATCTGTCATTACAAACCTCATCTGGATTTGAGATACCAGTCAACATACTGAGGACTAATAGCATATTGATTCCAAGGAAAAAACAATAACAACAGAAGACTTAATTAGCTGATGAGGAACATAATTGTCTCTTGCTATAAACATTTCATCTCACCCCGAACTAAATTTTTGCAATGCATCTAAAAGTTTCCATGGGGGCATACTGGAAAGGCCCATCTCCTTCTCACATCCATATAGCTGTAGTTCCCTGCTTTGGACCTAGAACAATGCCAGGAAATTTCCATCCTGGATGCATTGATGATCAGAGAGGGCTTTTTGGAATGCAACTGCTTGGAAACTCCAGATGTTGACTCCAGAATGATATCAGCACCTGACTTCTTCCTGTAGGTGCTGTGATGGCCTGCCATGCTCCCATGGCTCATGATGGCCTTATTCCTTCAGCTCTCCTGCTCCTGCAGCTTCAGCAGACTTAGAGTTGGTCATAAAAAGTTCTGAGGAATTATCACAAACTTTGATTTAGGGCTGAGAAAAAACAATGATAATATTTTTAAGGTTTTCTGAGATTATTAGGTGAACATGACAAAATTTAAAGAACAGATGAAGGGGGCCTCCAGTGCAAAGTATCAAAATGCTAGGACCTGACTCAGCCTAGGGTCTTTCCAAGGTGCAGTGTTTCAGGTTCAATGAACCAATGCTTTATGATAATATTGTATTTCCTTCTGAGACTGCTGAAAAACTCGAGATGTGTGGTGATTTGACTCTGAGTGGACACATTACCTCCTCCAAGACAATGGTACAAGAGGATGGAGAATGGAGGTTTTGGTCAGTTCATCACATGTTGTCTCTGTTGCTCCTTCCTCCTCACGGGGAAGACTCCTCATGCTCTTCCCCTGCTCCAGCATGGGGTCCCTCCCATAGAAATCAGTACTCCATGACCTTCCCCAGTGTGGGCCCTTCCTATGAGGTGCAGTTCCTCATGAATTGCTCCAGTATGAGTCCCATAGGAGGTACCACAATTGTGCATCTAGATGCTAGAAATAGCGTAGTCCAGAAACCTTCTAAAACAGTGAATGATGGGGTTTTTAAGGGTACTTGAACCTTTTTCTTTTCAGGAAAGTATGTGCTGCTATTGATATTATTAATCTATTTGTCTACTCTGCCTTACAAAAACTCTAGGTCTTGCTGTACCGTTAGTTGTTTGTGACATTTTAGAGTCTGGAAGAAGTGCAATGTCCCACTCAGGGTTAAGAAATAACACCTTGATACAACTAGAGACTGATCAAGAAGTAGTGCTGGTAGTATATTTCCTCAGAGAATTCCCAACCGGATTCCTAAGGTTGTTTAGATCATGGTTTTAACCTGAAGAGATAAACTCCTATGAAACAGACTGGAAGCTGAGTTTGGTTCTTTATTGGTACCAGATATCTACTTTGCAGTGTTGACATGCAGTAGAGCTGGATCATCACTTACCACCCAGGGCTTGCTGCAGAAGTTGTAGATGGAGTAGAGAGAGTTGACCGTGTGAAGGCCACCATACTGGAGGCCAATGACAAGGCTACGGAAGTCTTCTCCCAGTGCCATGCTGTATGCATGCTGACGAATCAGGACGAAGTCCGGCTTGAAGGACCTGGAAGAGAGGAGAGGAGTGATGTTTTACTTGCAAACACTCATAAACACTTCTAACCTCTCCTTGATTCTTTTCCATGCTTCCCCTTTCTTTTTGCTAACCCATGTTGCTCTTCTCTGCGCCTCTTGTCATGGGTTGCTTGTGTTAGAAGGTAACAAACAAAACAAAACCCCTTAGTCATTAAAAACGGGAAAAATCCAACATAGCTGCAAGTGTGAGAGCATAGAAACAGGCCAAACAGATTTTCTGTAGTTTCCAAGTCACTCAGGCATGCACAGGAACGAGCCACAAGCAGAGCCAAGAGTCATAAATTCACTGGTGGGGGGATTCTCATTTCTTTGTAAAATCTTGGCCATATTTGGCAAGCTTGTTGCAATGTGCGATGCAGATGAGGGAGCAAGTTTGTTTCTTGATGATTGAACTCGATATTGAAGCAATGCCCAGTGGGTGGGAAGATCATAAGGGATTTCAAAAACCTCTCATACGCATCCATACATTGACATGCATTCCCCCTTTAATCAGTTTACTACATGTGCAGCACATCCCAGGCTCTTGTAGCTATGAGTCAGTCAACAAGTAAAGGGCAAGGCATGGTAATGTAATTAATCAAATGAGCAGAGACCCTTATACTGTGCTGTGACTCATGGCATGGACTTCCAGAACATTATTTAGCAAGGCTAGAGTTAGGACTCCTATGGTTCAACAGTAGCAGCTCTCAGCAAACACACAGAAAAGTGAGGCCTTTTCTAGGTAAGCCAACAGGTGATGGGTTATCTTTCAAGGAGCCAGATTTCACTCCTTGCTGATGCTGTGTTTTCAGAGCCATTCAAGAATCTCTGGAAACAGCAGCTGAAAAGAAACTGTTCCCAAAATGGAGCTCAGCATTTCATTCTTGAAGGCATGGAAGGGGCTTTTCCATTGAAACAGGGGATTATTTTATATGTTAATCAAGGACATTGGAAAAATTTCCATGCTGTATTAAAGATTTTCAGAGAAATGAGTTCTGTAACCAGGTCCCATTACCTCACTACCCTCAAACATTTTCCTTGCTAAGAGACTATAATTTCTATCCTTTGGATGTATGAGCTGGAAATACTTTGGATTTATAGCCCCTATTTATATTTCCATCATTCTGGCAGGGAAATCTGAGATGGTGACTCTGGGCCAGATTGTGGCAACAAACACTGTACACAAAACGCAGCACAGTTTTGTTGTTTTAAAGCTGTTCATTTTGTTTGTTGGCCTTGGACTTTTGTTGTTGCCCACCCGAGACATGGTGAGGAGCAGGCACTGCTTTTGTGATGCAAGAGGCTAAGCTTTGGAAATGTTGTGATTCCCTCCCATGGAGTTTTTTTAAACCCCAGCATGTTCCCTAATGGACTTGGCACCAAAGGTGGTGCTTTCCTCCAGCAGCAAGATGCATAATGTGCATCAGAAAGGCTGTGCTATCGCTGTGCAGCTGATTTATGGACCTCCCCGATGTCAATGGGGATGAGGCAAGTGGTGACCCCCTTCTGAGAAACAGCAAGTGAATACAAATCTTGGAAAGCTTGAGCTGCTCCATTCTGCTGGACTTGCTGTGTAGAAAGCACTCTGGAGGCAGGCACAGGTCCTTAGGAAGGATTAACCAGCTTCTTAGGACCAGGGCTTGATATTTGTGCTGAGTTACTGGACACTTGTGCTGCCTGGATGGGCAGGAGCTCCAGGCATGTCTCTCCTCATCCAGCTTCCTGAGTGTATGAAGAAAAAAATGGACCCTGCTACAGGTCAAGTCTTTCCCCAGACTTGACTCATGGAACAGCACTTGCTGGTGTTGCATGGTAATGATTCAGACCATTGCTCCAGCCTCCCCAGAGGAAGCAGAAGTATTTGACCTTGAACATCTGCCCTAACACCCTGGATGGGGATGTGTTGCTGTGGTGGGGAGGAAGGATGCAAATGAGCATGGCCAGCTTCGGGGGGAGGACACACAGTGGGTGGGAAACTGCCATCAGTGGCTTTACTTATGCCAGCCAAAAGCTCAGAGAAAAAAGCTCGTCTTTTCAGATCCTGGCAAAGGAAGAATTTCTCCACTTTGAAGATGAACACAAGAATACAGAATTAATGTAGAAAGGCCTATTCTCAAACTCTGTGTCCTGTAGGAAGGCAGGGCACTCTCTCATGCAGCCGTTGAGGAGTGAATCTCTAAATCGAAGGTGGGCACTGAATCCCTGTTTTGAGGCATGGAAGAATGTGGATGTTCCCATGGATACTGAGAACAAGGCAGTGGAGTGCCAGGCCTGGGACTAGCTGCAAATAAACACCACTTGGAGAGCACCAGAGCCTATAATGGAGAAACAGAGACCAGTGGCAAAATGAGGGGCAAGGGGCTAGGAAGGATAGCAGGCAGTAAAAGGGAACTGAATAGTCATGGTAAGTCTGGTAGCATGAAAAGCAATTAAATGAGGATACAAGTGGTCTGGAAAAAAAATCAGCTTATTTGCTTCACACAAGGATTCTTGATTTTTCAAGTAGAAGACTACTTTTGGAAGCTACTGCTCATTCTCCAAGTGTAAAGCTTAAACTAACAGAGCAAGCCTTGGATTTGAAATAACTAGTAGCATATCTGCTTTCTTTGCAAGTTCAAACCAATAACATCTCCCATGACAGAAGGTTGAAATCCTTGGCAAACAGACGGGTTAGGCAGAAGTCACACATTTGATACACCATCTCCAAAACCATTGGGTGTGCCAAACTCAGTAACACCTACTGTGCTGAGGTCCTAAGCACCCAAGTCTGGCAGGACTAGGAGAGCTATGGCAGGAGCATGTTTTCCTCTCCACTGCCTCCATGTGTTCCTCCACTCCATCCAAACCTTCCAACCAGTGTTTAGATGACCATGAGTGGTCTTGAATAAAACTGTGCCTAATCCCTGCTAAAGACACACCATGAGAATTGGCTTGGTCTGAAAAAAAGAATACAGGAGGCGCCATTCAAACATCTAATGGACAGGGAGATGGGATAGTCAAATGGAACTAAAAGTAAACCATGGCTTTAAAGTATGTCACTAATAAGCTGTGTTCTGCAAGTTGGTGCAGTGCTCTTCCTGGGCTGTGTGTAGATGTCTCCTTGAAGTCATGAATCTATACTTTTAGAGTATAGATCCATGTATCCTTTTAAGTATAAAGCCTGGATCCAAAATACTCAATAGGAAGAGATCTGACTGCAGAACATAATATCTTAGGTTGGAGCCATCTATCCTTGAACCTATGACAGCATTAGCTGTCGTGTAAATAATTTTGCCAGAAGTGAAGGAATATGTAACATTTTCAGGGATTCCTGATGTTAAATATGGAAGTCCAATATCTCAGGAGCAGCAGTAGCTGTTCTGGTGACCATGTGTCTGACTTCTCTTATTATGAGAAGAGGATCAGTTCTGAAAAGATCATCAATAACATTTCTGTGCAGAAAGCATGTCCCCAGCTGGCTTTGTAGTACAGAAGACGATGACAGCAAACCCTGCTGGGAGGTTTCATGCCTTAAAGAGATCTCCTATTTTTTATTTCTGCATATAGCCATAACTCTGTCTTTCTTCCTGGTCCTTCAGCTTTTCTCACTGAAACACAAAAAGATTCATGTGCATGAAAAAAGGACACACAAGAACAGATTACTTGTATCAGAAATAGTGTGATCAGCACACTAGATTGTCCCTCTGTACTCAGCACTGGTGAGGCCACACTGCAAATACTGTGCTCAGTTTTGGGCTCCTCACTACAAGAAAGACATTGAGGAGCTGGAGGATGTCCAAAGAAGAGGATGAAGCTGTTGAAGGGTCTGGAGCACAAGTCCTGTGAGGAGAAGCTGAGGGAGCTGGAGTTGTTTAGGCTGGAGAAGAGGAGGCTCAGGGGAGACCTTATTGCTCCCTTTAACCACCTGAAAGCAGATTGTAGGGAGGTGGGGTTCAGTCTCTTCTCCCAGGTAACAAGTGATAGGATGAGAGGAAATTGCCCCAAGTTGTGCCAGGGGAGGTTTAATGGATAATAGGAAAAGTTCTTTCATGGAAATGGTTGTCAAGCATTGGACCAGCCTGCCAAGGGAAGTGGTTGAGTCACCATCTCTTCCAAAGGTGTGTGGATGTGGCACTTAGGGACATGATTTAGTGGTGAACATGATGGTGCTGGGTTAATGGTTGGACTTGATGGTCTTAGAGGTCTTTTCCAACCTTAAGGATCCTATGATTCTGTGAGTGTCGAAATACTTTTAAATGACTCCTTTCACTGTGAATTATCACTTGCAGCCAAAGTGTAGCTCTGCTTTATACTTTAGCACCATGAGGGTTTTAGAGAGCTTTTTGCTGGTGCTGTGAGAGAAGGATAGGCTCTCCTGCTCTCTTTCTTAAAGTCTACCAGTCTTACAAGACACTTCACCCTTCATGTCAACAGAAAAAGATCTTCCCTGGACACTGAAGATGCACATCCTTACTTCAGGTTCTGTCTACTCTCCATTGTTCAAGGAGGGTTTATTCAGCTTTCAGACGCTTCCCAGTGATCAACACCTTTTGACTAAGTTCCAGCTCAAAGCCTGTACTATCTGTTTGGCATGACACAGAGAGGAAGAATAGTACATAATTAAGCTGTATGATACAACAAGCTTTGTATTACTGGCAATTAATGAACCCTTCAGGGAAGTTTCTTAGGCATAAATCCAAGCCATAAGTATCTGCAACTACCCAAGAAGTGCGATAATCCCTCCAACTATGCAGTGCCTCCGGTGTCTGACAGCTAGTAGAAAATGGCATTGATAAATAGAAACAAGTTCTTTTTGTGCTTTACTTGGGTCTTACTAGTATTGTTATTACATTGCTTAAAGGTAATGTGAGATCTATGACATTTTCACCTATCACGATGTTAGATTTAACATTATGTTGGATGTTACAACATAAAGTGGGAAAATTGCTAAGAAAAAGATGTCATTTAAGTCAAAACCTCATGTCATATTTTCCCTGGAAAAAAATAAACCCT